GAGTTGCTTCTCCGGTGGACCAGCAATCAAGATGACAGAGCCGTGGCCTCATCTGTTTGCTCCTCCGGCTCGCTCCGACGGAGAACTCGAGATGGCCTTGAGGGAGCGATGGCTAGGAATGGATTATTGAGAAAACATCCAGTGTTCTTTGCGGCTTATATGGTCTCAAACTCGGCCCTTTCTTTTCACTCCAGAAACATATAACAAAAAAAACAGGGAATGATCCAGAGACTGGAGGCACTGCCTCCTCCCCCGTCTCACACTCACTCTTACTTGCTGTTTAGATAACACTGACCTTGACTCCCATCCAAGGCTTCCAAGCTTAAAGTACTAAAGAAGTCTGAGCTACCAAAGATGTGGCTGTCCTGCACCCTTCTGGTATTTGAATTGGAGTCACATCTCGTATCACTCGTCTTGAGCCGGAGGCCTTGCCAGATCCTTAGTCGGTGAGACATTTCATTTATCTTCTCAGCAACCTGCCGAGGCGGCTGAAACATACCAGTGGACCTGTATCTGGCCAGGTTCTGGAACCTCTGGACCACTCCTGACCTACCAGAAGCTGTGGACCTGAATTCCGCTTCATCTGAGTCTATTGGTGTTTTTGCAAATCACAGTGTGAAACCCTCACGGCCTACTGTGATACTGCTCAAACATGGACCTCAATATGTCCTCACAGTTCAGAGGTAGTCATGACGGTCATTCTTTCACCTGCCAGACACCCTACTTTCTCTTCTTCCTGTGTGGAACAGGTGAATACTTGCTAACTTGCTTACTTCCTGTTGGTAGCCTTGGTAGAGAGAGGTCTGGTAGAGTGAAAGCTTTGATTAAGGGCATAGGTGCTGTTAAACCAGATAATACATATGACCAAAGCCACAGTAGAGGTGAAATTTACTGCAGGTCCACATCCTGGACAAGTTATTCAAACATCCACAAATTCGCCATCTCAGCTACATGATTTCTAATTCACTTGACTTGAATTCCTTTGAGTTTAGGGAGGGAAGTGGAACAATCACATCTTAATAATGTCAGGGATATCGGCCAATCAATGGTTAGCATGCTGGAGTCACACAACGAATCACAGAGAGGATGGTGAGTCCGTGAGAAGCTGCAGCAGGGCTCAATAGAGGTGCCCCTTGGTTCTGTTCTCGGACCGTATGTGTTTGTTGCCCTCCTTACACAAACCACATCCAACGTGCTTTTTAAATATAGCCGATACCAGCTCAGCTCTTCCCATAGAATCCAGAGACCAACTGTCGCCTCAAACAGACCCACATCAACAAACCAATGATCATCAGGGGTCTCTGGAGCATCTAATAAAACACCAACCAGGGGATACAAACATGGTTAGCTCATAGCAGCGTGCCACGCTAAAGTCGCAGATATATCCACGGTTCTGGACACACACCGAGTTGTTGTGTTTTTCTGTCCGTACTCACTGTTCTTCTTTTTTCTAGCAAAGCCGGTTTCGTTTTAACTCCCATATAATGATGAATGGGGTCTGTGGTTTGGACCGGACTCAAGGCAGATTGGACACACGCATCATACGGTTTTACCGATTTCGTGACGTGTGGCGGATGGTGTTGGCCTGCCAGACGGTTCTCTCCTGCCCTTCCCGATTATTTAATCATCTTAGGGGATGGAATTCCGTGTGGCTCGGAGCATGGTGGGG